TGCCTGCCTGCCTGCCTGCCATTCTGACTTATCTCTAGTCATATATAAACGTCAAGTCGTCGACGAGACAGAACGGAATGGAATGGGACGACTCGGGAGACTTTTGACAATTGCCACACAATTGTCGAGCCACGACACCAACTGTTTGCCTCCGTCGACGTTCCCGTTCCCTTTCCCTTTCCCGTCCCCGGCTCCATATCCGGACCGTTCTGGGAGTCATAAAGGAAAAATTTAGCTTATTTGCTGTATAAATACTGACACCTCCGACGCGTCGGCTGTGCAGGGATGGCAGTTTTCCCGTCTGGCAGTCTGTCTGAGTGCCATAAAAATGGGATGTGGCCTGCAGCGACGCTTGGCTGTGACTTTCGACTCTTGACTCTCGACTCTCGACAGGGTCCACATCCAGATGAGATGGGGCAGAACAATTGCCGGTAATATTGATGGTGCAGCAGCTGATGCTGATTCCGGATGATTCAGACCCGACATAAGGCAGCAATCTAGAGGAATCACTTTCATTTCAATGTATATCTGAGAGTAGAGCTGGCTCTCCAGCTCCTTTCCATTTCTATTCTGATATGAGAATCTGTGAGATTTCTACATTAGCCTCGTTACATGTCAAATGAGTGTCACTAATTACATATTAATTAGTTTCCTTTTCCCAGTCACTCCCTCTCCTACTCCAGCTACCAGCCATCCAGGCACATCATCAATCAAACAGAGCAGCGAACATAGACCCGCAGGGAGAGAGTGAAGAGAGAGGAGGGGTCCACTAATAAAATATAGAAAAATGCAAATGAAAAACTACTCAAGTCCAGGGCTCAGACTGTTGCCCTTCACTTAATCAATGTACATAATTCTAATTAAATTTGCATTATGAGCAGCAGGGAAAAACAACAACAGAACAGCAGCAACAGCAGCAGCAGGAGCAGCAGGCTGAGCGCTGGGAAAATAGTATTAAGTATACGGCTTGGTACTCATTTACCCATTTCCTGCCTAAGTAATTACAATTTCAATAATTTATAGGAAAATAAACGTAGTCGAATGCACTGCCCAGGCAAGTCCAGATGAGCAGATACAGAGATACAAAGATACAAACGAGCAGAAGCAGCAGCATCATCAGAAGGAGACGTTGAGCTGATGATTCCTTTATATTTCAATCAATTTTTGCCAAGCAAATATTATTCGAAAACAGCACTCGAGTCCCGCAAAGTTTTGTAATTATAACGAAGAGAGTCGAGAGCTAGGAAATCTCCACAAAATAATTAATAACTTAAACATATTTACATAGCATTCTCAGCTATCTGGTGTAATCAGATTAAGGCCTTTTCAGATATGAATTGGTCGCATTATGGCAGGATCTCAGTTCTCAGCTCTCAGCTGCTTCTCCAAGCTCTGACTAAGCTGTGAAAATTAATGGAGTATTTATTTGTTTGCTTAATGATTTATTAGCTGCAATCAGAGTCCATTCGTCTCGAATGCCAAAAGGGTTTTCAGAGAAGAGTGAAAAGCCATGCCATGGTCTGGGGAATTCCAGAAATGTGAATGTGAGTTGTGGCATCTTCTGCATTTGTACACCTCAATGAACAGAAACTCCTCCACTAACCTGTCCTAATGTATTCAAATGGCTAACCTCTTGGATTCCTTCTATTCTCTCTTCTGTGTGCTCTTCTCGCTTTGGGAGAGAGAACTAATCCTCAGACGCTCATTAGCAACCATTAAATGTCAATTTACATGTCAATTGGCAACAGTGCACAGCAAGCCAGCCAGCCAGCCAGCCAGACAGCCATCTAGCTAGCCAGCCAGTTAGTACAGTAAAAAATGGAATAAGGAACACGAAGGGAATGGGACATGTGCTTTGAGCTTTGACTCTCGCGTTGTCAGCGACTCTCTGTTTAGTTTTTTTTTTGTGTGTGCTTGTCTCCTCTGGCGCCGCTGACTCCACTGACTCCACTGTCTCCACAGTTTTTTGTATAATTTATAGACGCGACTGGCTCTTCCACCTTTGGCTTTCGCTAGGTCTTAAAATACAATTACTTGCCCCCGGGGGAGGGCAAGGCAGGGAGGGGCGGATCAGCCAGAGAGCAACTCAAAGGGAGATAAGCAAAAACATAACATGCAACAATTAGTGGCCTGTCCTTGTCTCCTGCCGTGCCACATACAAAAGTTACCATGTGGTTAACTAATTTAATTTGGTTTTCTTTTTGCCTGTGCCACTCGACTCCGTTCCACAAACTCCCTGCCCAAGCCACCTTTTGACGGCAGCATCAAAGACAACGACACGTTAATGACTTCTTTTGCCTTTGCCTTGGCAACAGACAACGGGGATGTAGACTTGGACGTGGACGTGAATGTGGATGTAGAAGTGGAAGTGCATGTGGACTAAGAGGAGAGCAGGCATGAAAATAAAATCTAAAAATTGCCACACATGGCCGGCAAAGGAATCACGAACAAGGATGGAGACCAGGAGCCACTTAACTTGTCTATATGAGCCTAATGGCCTTTAATATTATTTTCACTGCTCTTTCCTTTAGCTCGGAGACAGAAACAAAAACAAGAACAAGAACAACACTCTAAAGAGCTGAAAAAAAGTGAAACGGCCAAAAGGGAATCACTGAAAGCCCTGTGTGCATTTTATCCCTGCCGGTCGGTGGCTCGGTGGCTCGGTCTGTGTCGTTGTGCCCCCAGGTAATTGTAGAAAATTGCTGCAACGCCAGGCTAAACATTGTGCAAATCCTTTTGTCCTGCTCGGGTCTTCTCTTTTTCTCCTGTTCTTTTCAGTCTACTTGGCTCTATTCCCCATTCCCGTCTCCATTTGCTCGTTCTTTACCCACCACTCCCTCTCTCGCTCTCTTTGGTTTTTTGGCCGCAACTGTTAACAGCCAGTTGAACTATGCCATTTCATATGTACAACAGCAGGCGCCGCAAAGTATGCTGCACTATTTTTACCTTGTCCCAGCTCGCCTGGGAGACCCCTGACCATCGCGTCCCAGCCTCGAACCCTGGAAACCCGGAACCCCCAAACCCACCACCACCACTCTGAGCCAACGTGCTTTACATTTTTATTAAGCCAACCCTTTTCTCCAGCTCCTCTTCGTTTTTGTTGCTTAGCATGCCAGGGGCGTTGTTTGGCTTATTGCACGTGCTCGGAGGTGGGGCGAGAGTGTAAAAGGCCAGAACGGAACCCAAATGCCATTAGGCTTAACCCGGACACAAGACAATTGCCTGCAGGCCATGTGTGCATGCATGGGTCCAACGTGTCGTATTAGTTATTTTCTACTTCGATTGCTTTTGCCACTTTAGCGCGACAGCAGCTGTGCGGCGGGCTCCTTGTCTCGGCCCGTGTGCCAAGTGTTTTGCCAATTATGTGATGCTCAATTTTCGATATGATACGAGAGGATGCCCCCAAACCTCAGATCTCAGACCTCCGACCAGAAGCTTAAATGGTGTTCGGGCTTCCACAGGGTAAGAGAAAGGACTGGCAATCGATTGGGGACAGCTGTCCTCAATATGGGTTCATCTTTCGCACATCCCAGTAGATTAGACTTAAGCGAATCTATTGATCCCTATTCTACTTCCTTTCAACCTCTTTCTAGTCTAGTCTAGTTTAGTCTAAGTACTCGTAGTCAGTAAGTATTCTTAAGCTATGCATTTGTTGATTCCCAGCATACCAACTTTTACCATATCTTTTCCAAGTAGTGGCTAACGTGTTCTATTCCCCCATCAATGTCTATCCTTAACTCCGTAGCCAGCTCGTAATTGTGTGCGTGCCAGTGGCTGTTCTATATATATTTAAACATACCTACCACCTATATACATATATTATACGTATATATCTAGCTAATTGTTACTGTCAATCATTTGACATTTTCGATTCTCGTAAGTTGTAAGTTAAAACAAAAACAAAACAAAAATTGTGCGACAACTTTAACTAAATATCACCCATTTTTGTCTTCTTTTCTTTCCTTTTTATGTAACACTTGTTCGTGCTCTGTATCAAAAAAAAAATATATATATGATTGAAAACGAAAAAAAAAAATAATAATATTTACATCAAAATTGGCAAAATTGGAAAACTGACAATTCTTCTACTTATGATTTCCTGAAAATTCTGTATTACTTTCCTTTCATTTGATTTTATTCGATTCGGTTTGATTTGATCTAAAACCGAAATTTTTTCTTACTTGATGCAACAATTTCCTCAAAAAAAAAAAAAAAAAAAACAATTATGAAAACCATTTGTTCCGCTTTTAAAAATCCAAAATTTATATCCCCGTACCTACCCCGAAACCCTGTTAACCCACATTAATAAATGTTGTAACTGTATTTGCTCTATTGGTGCTCAAAATATCCACCCGAAACACCAACAAAAATCTCTCGTTAACTAAATGTTGTTGCTTTTACTTTTCTTTGGGTATTTTGCGCCTGTTGAAATCTTTGAAATTATCGAAAACACACAATTACATAAATGTGCCTGCCTCGTTCTCGTTACTCGTTACAAAAACAAAAACATACAAAAAATAAATAAAAAATGTACCGAAAAAATTAAATGATATGTGCTACGTAATATGTAACCTTGTTACATTTACATTCTTTAATACGATACACATATATATTAATATATATAAAAAAAAAACCACAATGAAAATTTTATTTTTTTCGGTATTAAATTTTTTGTTATCATTTTAATTTTGTGCGAAAATTGTCTGGCTATGGCTTCTTGATTGAAAACTTATAATTTCCGGAATAAAACAAAAAACAAAAAACAAAAAAAAAACAATCGCACACCCACATTGACACTGCCACATTGCCATTTATCCATTTTGCCGCCTCTTTTGGTGCCTGAACAATCGAAATCAATCAATCAATCCGATTCAATCGATACGATTCAATCCGATCCGAACCGATCGTATCACATAACATTACATGAAACATGAACATGAACCAAAAAATCGAAACTGAAACTGAAACCGAAACCGAACCAAAACCCGAACCCAAAACAGAGCATCTAGATCGCAAGCTCTTCGTTGGCATGCTCAGCAAACAACAGACCGAAGACGATGTTAGACAAATCTTCCACCCGTTCGGCTCTATAGAGGAGTGCACCATATTGCGGGGCCCGGACGGTACGAGCAAAGGTGAGTACAGCCCCCAAAAAAATATTTATTAATACATAAACTACATCTACTATATATCTACTATTGCTATACTTCCTATTTCTTGTTTATTTATTTTTGATACTGTTTATATCAAGTATACGTAACGTGTTCAGCTCGTTATCCGTTGTAATTGCCAGTTTTATTCCATTGATTACCAATTTTGCGATTTTGTTGAACGTTGCGTTTTTGGTATTAGTTTTGATTGTGCGTAGATATCTAGCATTTTACAAATATAAACTGTACCTTTTAGGGATCTGCATATATGTATCAAGCATATCTCATGGCTGCAACTGAGTAGCTCTTTTAGCTTGAGGAGTGAATTCAGTAGTGCAGGGCCCTCTGCCCTGCCAAATGGCTCTACTGATAATGGCCCAGCCATGTTGGCAGCTGTGCAACGAGCCAAATAATCATCACACACATAACCGTAACAATTACAGTGCTCTGGATGGAATGGGGGGACGGGTGTGAGTCCCGAGGTGGCATAAAATAAAAATCGGGTAAACAGTTCAATTAAAGTTGTTTGCTTTTGGCAGCGCTGCTCGTTTCACACGCTCGCCATTTGCATTGTGTCTGTATCTGTGTGAGAGTATTTTTACTTGCAAATGCCACGCATACACATACAGACACAGCGCATAAAAAGGCAGCGACAGAGGGTGACAGAGTGAGGGAGAGAGAGAGTGCGGGAGAAAAGTTTCGTTTGTTTTAATATGCAAGTAACTTTTTTAACAATAACATTCCATTTTATTATGTCAAAAGTTTTGGTTTTACAAACACATAAACACACACTGTATTTGTATCTGTGTATCTGTGTGTTTGTTTGTTTTTTTGTATCTTTTTGTTATATATATTTTTATTTTGCTTACATTTGCAACATTTTTGACTGCCGCCTTTTGTGTCCCTGTATCCCACACCCGCCCATTCCCTGTGCGTGTGTATTTTCATGTTAATGTTTGTTATTTCTGTTCTTTTGTTGGCGTTTATTGTTGCCATTTTGATATGCATGAAAAGGCACTCGGAAGGGGGCGTGGCACGCGGCCATATGACACTTTGCATAGAAAACCAATGAGGAGCGTGGAGACAAACATATTTTTGTTTTGGCTGTAAAATGGGGACACACAGCTCCTGAGATTGCAGCCCTCAATTGCTCCTTCAGGCATACTTTAAGCCGCCCCCCTGCGGCTCCCTCACCGTTTCGATAGCCAAGTTAATGTTAAATCAAATTGATGCCACAACTGCCACAAATTTGAATTGCCGAAATATCTCACTGAATACATTTCCGGCCACCGCCCCAGACCCCTCCCCAAAGCAATGCCACGCACACACACATATTTTTGACAAAGCCGCCACATAATTTGATACACATTTTCAGTTTTTCTGTGTTCTATTCTTCCCCAACTTCCTGTTGAGCGGGAAAACTTACTGTTGCCGTTTGCGCTGTCGCTGTCGACAGCCTTCAAGTTCGACAGTTACCGGCGCGCAAAGTTCAAAGCCGCGAAAACTGTCAGTCGATGGTGGTGACGGAGCAGTGGGTCGATTGCGGCTGTTGTGGCTGCGATGCCAACATATCATTCTTCATTAAAATGCGCTTCAAAGTCAGCCGTTCGGGAGCTTCGTTTTTTGAAGGAGGAGTCGGTAGTCCGGAGTCGGAGACGGCGTTGACTCTGGGGTGAAGTGACAGGCGCTAGCCTGTGTAAGTGCCAAAATCCATCAACGTCAATGCTTTCTTTCCACCACTTTTCCACCGCTTTCCTTTCCGCACAGTGCCGCGAATTATATTCAAGGAAAATCGAGTCAGCTTAGGCGGGGAAAATGGGAAAAAGAGAGCAATGGAACGAGGGACAAGCGAAAAACGAACGAAGTAATGAGGAATGAACATTGACTGACTGGGCGAACTGCAAAATGTATGCAAATGATGATGCATGTGGCAGCAGAATGCGGTGACGCTGAATGGAAGGAGTGGAGAGGACAGCCGTGGCCCAACCAACAATAATAACCAAGGAGGTGTTCCCGCTGCTCCTGCTCAAGTCTGTCCGTGCTGTAGGTGTGTATGTGTGTGTGGGTGTATGTGTGTATCTGACAGGCAACAGGAATAAGCGCAACCATCATGTTAAATTATGCAAATTCGATTTCAGTGAGTGAATGAAATGAAACGAGGTAAAGGCAAGGTTTTTCTGAGGGAGCGGCTCAAACTGACTTTGAAACTTTTGCCAACACAAAACACAAAGCATGTGGTGCCCCCAACACTGAGCGAAATTAAATACCAAATGGGGGATTAAACTTGGCCACACTTGAAGCATTTGACACTTGTTTTTTCTCCGGGTGTAGCCAGGCGTAGACACAAGCAAATTTTCTAGCTCGACAATGGCAGGAGCCAGACCCAGACCCAGACCCAGACCCGGACCGAGACCTGGCCAGGACACTGGCTGGTGGCTCATTTGATTAGAATATTCATGCATGCACTTCATTGTCATCAAGGCTTGCAAGGCAGCAAAGTTGTCATCTCGTCCTACGTCTTGTCATCTGTGCAATCAACACAATTGTGTGTGGCTCGACGAGTCCACCTCCACCTCCAGCTTCCACTCCGTACCCCTTCTCTGGCTCTGGCACTGGCTCTGGCGGTAATCAAAGCTTCCTTCTACACGAGTATGTGGCAGCTGCAACGGGTGTCGTCTATTGGCAGAGCCGAGCATTTTGCATAAGTAGCCGCATGTGTGTGCTGCTCAGGCCAGGCCAGGCCAGGCCAGACCATGCCCAGAACGGGGGCCGGCTCCTGTTGCTGACAGACAGTTGGCATAAGTTGACGTTGAATGCGCCGAGTTGGCATTGCCAATGATGCTCAGAGACCAGAGGCTTTTCCAGCTTAAAGCGTACCTCGGCCTAATCACTGCAACTGGAACCTGTCATTAAGTAATTGCTGTCGGGGGGTGGGGTGGAAAGGGTAGCGCAGGTTGATAGAGCCAAGATTTTAGAGTGAATAATGGGACACAACTTCATGAATTAAATTGACGGAATTTTCAACCGAAAATCTCTGATTGCCAGCTAAGATTCAGCAGATTTACCGCAGACCTTGAATCAGAATCCGACTCAATCGACCCACTCAATTCGGGTAATGGCATTGTCAAGTTGTGCTGCCAAAAACATAAATTGAATTAAAACGTCGTTTAGACTCAAAATTAATTCGAATGTCTCGCTTTGTCAAATTAACTTTTAATTGCCGCAAAAGCCAGCAGCATCAGCGGCAGAAGCAGCATCAGCAGCAGCGGCGTCTTCTCCTCTGGCAACTGACACACAAAAACAAATTCCAATTAATACAACCGTACGCACACACAGCACACACATAAATGAAGATGCCACACACAGACGCACACACTCAAAGCCACAACAATAGCAGCCGGTGCGCGCCGTAAAGTAGACTTCAAATTTCGGCCTGCATTGTCGTCTATCATATCAAAAGCGGCGCAAACCCCATAAATGCCAATAATTAATGTGACATTTTCGGCGTAATTGAGGCAAGTATGCAGCAGCAGTACACAGCCTGTCACAACCACACATACACTCTCACCCACACACGGCCAATATGCCATGGCTGAGTGTATCTGTCTCTGTATCTCTCTCTCTCTCTCTCTCTGTATCTGTGCCTGTGCGTGTGCTTCAAAGCATTCCCCAAAACTGCATGGCATGCCAAGTGGCAAACTGCTTCCTTTCCTCTGCTCACCACGCATGGCTGGCTAATTGAATTTCTGCACATAGCACTGGCAAATTCTATGAGTGGGCTGCAGGCCCACAAAAAATAAACCCTCCCCCGCCCAAACCTGAACTCGAGCCCCAAACAAGAATCGGAGTCGAGTGTGGAGTGTGCAACAAAATTGTGTCGCCGCTGTTCAGGTGGGTGAAAGAAGCTCTGCTGGAAGAGAAAATTTATTGCCTGCAAAAAAATATCAGAAAAAGAAGTTAAGTAGCCTTCACATAATTGCTCAGAGGAAAGTTTTTTAATACCTCTCCGGTGCCTCCTTTGGATGGGTATCCTACCCAGCTTTGCCTCAAACTTTCCAATGACAGTTTAAGTTGTTTTTCAGGCTGTTGCTGCTGCTGTTGCTGTTGCTCTACTTGTTGTTTGGCCAACAAATTTTTACAGGCAGCCATTGTGGAGAAGCTCTACATAGCTCTCCGCTGGTTGTCAACTCTCACCAGCCTCGGCCCACACCCACACACATAGATACACAGACACAAATACAAAAATACAGAGATACAGAGATACATACTACACTCAAATATCAACGTGGCAGCTCTCGCATCATCATTTCATTTCATTTCAATTTCAATTTATATGAGCAAAGTTTTATGAAGTGCATGTCATGCTGCTGCCTCTCCTGTTGCCTCTCCGCCGGACGCAATGCATTTATTAAATTTCATTTCATTCCAACTCTATGCTCGTACTCATGTTTATTTTACAGCACACTAAAAAGTTCTAACAAGTGCTGATTGAGAGCGCTGCAAAAACTGTCAAACAGTGCCCAACAAAAGCACACAAAAACACACAGCCAAACACACACACGCACACAGCCAAACACACAAACATACATACAGTCACTGGTAACCACACACAAAAATGTTGTAAAACTCAAATTGAATTTAACGCTTATGACATGCGAGAGAGAGCTCTACTTTCAATTTTTTATCATAATGGCCGAGAGTGTGATGGGATTTCGGAATTTACCACTCAAGCGTTGTTGATTGATTCCAAGGGGGGAAATCCCATCCCATGCCATACCATGCTATAAATTCCATATCCTATGGCTCTGCCAATCTCTATGCAGCGCCATTAATGACTCCCCCAGCTTGGGGCATAACTCTGTTTTAGCTAAACTTTCGATAATTAAAGCATCTGCATCTGCTGCATAGGGACAGAGAGAGCGAGAGCAACACCCGCAGGCCTCGTAAAACATTCCACTTAATGTGCCTTAATTAAAACAAAACTCGCTCTTCTCGCTCTCAGTGAGTGGTCTCTGCAGTCTATAACTATTTATTGTGTGGCACGAAGAAGCATTTGTACAAGCATAAGAAAAAATCGGAGTAATAATAATAATGTAAGTTGTGGCATAAGCTCATAAGTGCCATTTAAGCCAGAGTCATCCTTGTTGTTGCTTCGACTGCTGCTGCTGCTGCTACAGCTGCTGCTGCTGCTGCTGCTATTGCTGCTGGTAAGCTAAAAGTCCCAGAGTCGTAGAGCCCGACTGCAAAATGCCACACAGGCCATGGAATTAAAATACATATCAAAAAGGAAAAAGGAACAAACGCGAACTTTGGCGTCCCCCGTCCATAGACCAACCCAAAAACCAAAACCAGAAAACCCAGCCAGCAAACTTTGCCGTCATCGTAGTCGGAGTCGTTGCCATGGCCACAAGTCTTTTGTGAGGTCTGATCCTCTGAGCCTGAGCCGCTCTCTCTATCTCTCTCTCTCTCTCTCTGTCTCTGTCTCTCTTTAGCTGTAAGTTTTGTGTGTGGGCCGCAGTTTAATGCAGCTTAAATTTAATTGCAATATAGCAAAAGTTTCATATGCAGAGTGAACGGAGCGAACGGAGCGAACCGAGCGGAGAGAGCGACAACAGCCGAGTCCAATAAATTTTTATCACATACAACTAGCAAAGGCAAAATGTGTTTAGACTCTCCCTTGTCCCTCCCTTCGTCTGCGTTGCCTGTTTAATGCTAATTAACATGCAACATGCCCGAAACTATGCAACGCATACAGCCAGGCCCTCGCACAAAGGTCAAGGCAATTAAACGTAGCCAAGGATGCGACAGGAGCAGCCGAGAAGGTACCAGGAACTAGCTGAAATGTGATGCCCCAAAGCCAAGCCAAGCCAAGCAAGTCATAAAAGCCACACAAAGTGCCAGCCAACTTATGCTACACTAGCCAACAAAGAAGCGGCTGTAGCCCGAATACCCTCACCAGATCAGGCACCACTTAGGCAGATCTTTGATCTTGTCTCTAGTCAAATGTTACCAGCTTAATGCGGGGACGCGTATACCCTGCCTCAAGCCGTGGCAATCTGGTTTCTTTCCGCAATTTCGTTTCATTATGTGGCCACGTTGGTGGCAAGTGTGCTTTATTAACACATTTCGTGGCCCACACACACACACACACACACATACAGCCTCATCCTCTACCACACACAAACGTATAGCTAAGAACATAACTTTTTTAATACCCATCGCCATCGCCATTGCCATCGCCCATTCGCTTGGCAGGCAGCCCTACCGGCCGGCCGGCCGGCTGGCTGCCTGCCTGGCTGGCTTTAGTTGTAATAGTTTAATAAAGTAGTAAAAGCTGCGGAAATTAGATTTGACCGCAACACACGGGCACACGGGAGACCGACCAGAGACGAGAGGAAACTTTGCCGCAACGCAGCGCAGCCCAGGAGGTTGGTCGGAAAAAAATGTTGTACACGACCACCGCATGGGAGAGGAAACCCTTGGCTGCTTCTGTTGCTTCCTTGGGCTCCTGGATTCTTGTCAATAAAAATGTCAAAAAAGTTTTGGCTAAGCATTCAACAAAAAGTTCGGGGCTGGCCTGAGCGGGGCAGAGCTGAGAGGCTGAAAAGGGTTGCCCAAGCATACTTCGGAGAATGTGTCTGGGGACGGGCATGAGAGTGAGGTTGAAGATGAAGATGAGGATGCGGATAGGGATGTGCTTATTAAAGGACAGGCCGAGTCGATTCGAGTCGAGTCCCAGGCGACGGCAGCGGCAGCGGCAGGAAGAAGGCCTTGCAGCAAATTTAATTAACTCAGTTGAGCGCGTTCGCCTTCGGTTCGTATCGTTGGTTCCGGCATCAATAAAAGATTAGTCCTATCAGCCGTGAGGTATGACACTTAAGATATTTGTTTTAGTTGCGCTGGATTATTGAAAAATTAATGCAATAAGCGGCAGCATAAGGATACGGATACGGGTACGGATACGAGCCTCGACTGCAATTAAGCGAAAGCGAAACTGACAGAGGCGCTGCCTCCTCCGCCCCCTAATGGTTATTGATGTGCCCACACATACTCTGCCTCGCCAGCAGCAGGCGCCCTACGGTAGGCTTTAATTTTAATAAACGGCATAAGGCGGCAGCCACTGAAAGCTTATTAAATTTCAGTCAGCGGGCAGGCTCGGCTGTCGTGTCTCTTGTGTCTGCTGCTGGGTGCCGGCTCCCGGGTTGGGTCCTGCCACCTGTCAGTTGCACATATTTTGTTATTATCAGGCGGCGAGGCGCGGCGGCGCCATTGCGTATGCCACATACATATTCTGGAGCTCATTTCCTAGCTCATTGCCGGGGCCAAGACATGAGCTAAATTAATTTATTCCACTTTTGTTGTTAGACAATATCCCGCGCAGCCGCCTCCACCTCCGCCTCCGGTAAAAGGATCCGGGCCGAGGCCGTGGCCGGGGCAGGGGCTGGCAGCGCCGCGAAGGCATTTAATGAAAATGAAAACGTCTAGAGCCCGAACAGGATACGTGGCTGCCTCGGTCGCTATCCTTTTTCAAAGCTGAAGGCACAAACTGATATAAAATAATATAAAACTGACACTGACGATGGGCCTGCCTGGGCTGGGCGGCTTGCTAAGCCGCGTCAAGTGTCGCCAGGCAGCAGGAAAGGCATGAGGCAGGAGCCAAGGATAGGATGCTGGGGCCCAGACTTTGCACCCCCCCTCAGCAAAACAAATGTTTATGTTTATGCACTTAAATCCCGGGTGGGTTCAGCGAATGGTACCTCCCTAAAGTTTTTCCTGTGTTTCTTTGACGTTTCCTTGGTTAAACCCATTACATATATATAGTACCTACGTAAGCCCGATCGATAATGCTCTGCTTTACCCCGAACTCATTGAGTTTTCATTCTTCTCTCTGTTTTAGGTAAGTGCACAAGGCTTCATCCTTACAACAGAACACGTGATCCACGTGGCGGTAAGCAGATGACAAAACACTATTTAACCATTCATCCAATGCCATCCATACCTGCAGGTAGCCTCATCAGATCTCCCCTCATGCTCGTACTCGTATGTTACATTTCACATTTAACCCCCCTCTCAACCCACTCAACCCACTCTCTCTCTCTCAACACCCTCTCTCAAAATGCAAATGAACGAGTAGCCCTGGCCAAACACAAAAAAATATCAAGTATCAGCATATTGTCAGGCCACAATGAATAATAATGAGAGTAAACATTCATACTTACATATGCACGTATGTATGGGGCAGGTCTTTGCCAGACTTATGCACGAAATAATAAAGTCTCTTGGTCGGCGCACTGGACCTGCAAATGCAATAAATAATTTCTAAAAATTGTGTGCCTTGAAACTTCATACTTCACACTTTAGCCGGCAGTAGCACGATTATGAGACGTTGCATTTTATCCACAACAAAAATTTACAAGGCCTTAGGCCTAAGCTTTTTGCCCCTCTGGTTTTTTGCTTCTGTTTTCTCGGCACTCAATCAAAAATCACATTTCCGTGTCGGCTATTTTGGCATACGAAAAAAAAAAAAGGAAAAAGGAAAAAGCAAATAGCACTCACTCCCAACCACACGGCCACACAGATGAAGCAAATGTAATTAAAATTCGATATACTTGTTTTCGCAAAACTGCCCACAGGGAGCAGCACCAAATGGGGGGCGAGAGTATTGAAGCGGAGCTGGGCATAGGCCAGTGCAACATCAGCCAGCCAACCCTCTGCTGTGCATCAGAGTTGGGCAAGGGATAGGGTAGAACAGTTGCATACATCATCATCATCATCATCATGGTAGACGACGTCGTCATCCACGTTGCAGGCTGCAAAATTTGGCAAAAATTTTAGCTTCAATTTAAATTTTTGGTCAGATTTGCACGTACTCGACTCCGCTTCGTCTGTGTCTGTGTATGTGTGTTTGTAATTACATATACACACACGCACAATCAAGCACACACACACACACACACAGCCAGCAACACAACCACACAATTCATGCAAATTGATGTTGCTTTTAGCATGCACAGGGAGAAAATGTGGAGTATCCAGGAGCAGCAGCAGCAGGGGCTTTGAAAAATATTTGGTAGTGTCCGTTCTACTTTACTCCGCTCTCGGGCCCAAAACAATGAAGATTTATAATGCCCTTCTGGCCTCTGCTCCGCTCCGCTTCGGTCCGCTCCACTCCGCTCCGCTCCGCTCCGCTCCTTCCGTTGCCATGGCTATACGTGGCATACGCATCCTTGGGGCCAAAAGCACTGTATGCCATAATAGCCATATATTAGGGTTCAGCAGCGATTTGGCCGCAACCAACAACAATTGAAGCTGGCGGCCACTGGGAGAGTAAAAACAAGTAAAGAAGGCTTGCCTGGTATAGCCGAAGCTATAGATACCCTTGCAGGTCGGTGGGCTCATGACACATCAATATCATGACATTTGAAAGCAAATATAGACATGGAATGTCATATAGAAACCTGTGCAAAGTTATAGGCAGTTGCGAAAGAGATATATAAATATACACATGGTATATCGCCTCCACATCGACTGCCTTCGCTGTGCTGCAAACATGTTTGTAAGCCGAAATACCCTCTGTAAAGGTAAAACATGGCCAGTGGGAGGGAACTAGAGATTTTTGATCGCTTGTAATTGGAAAGAGCTTAGACCTGAAGCGAATCAACCTAGAAGAGATCCAACCACATTGAAGTACTGTCCAAAAAACAGTCTTAAGATGCATACATACATACTCCTGCTCCTGCTGCTGCTCCTGCTGCTGCTGTCTCTGGCATTGTATAAGTTATGCCAATCACATAACAAAATATATGTTTTTGCTCTTCTCAAATTAAATAAGAGCCGCAGTGCAACAACATAACGCAGCATCACTACCAACACTAACTCCACCACCACTAGAAATACCAGCAACAGCAACAGCAAAACACCAACAACAACTACAAATCGCACACTCGAGCGCAGAGCGTAACAAAATTCAATATCGCTTTTAATTGCATGTTGCCCCGGCAACGGCAACAGCAGCAGGAGCAGCAGCAACACCAGCAACAGCAACAACAACATGCGACAGACATTGTAAGCCCCTTGCAAACTGAACTGTAGTGTGGATGAGAGAGGTTGGGTGGGATGAAGGCCACTTATATAAGGCCGAATGCCTGGGACGAACCTGTAATTTAGCAAAATGTTATGTAAACTTTAAATCGAGTTATGCATTTTAATTGGTTGTTGTACAATTTCGCAAGCGGCACGTTTTGTTTGCCACATCACAGAGCACACGGCTCACAGCACAGAGCTCACAGAGCACAAACTGCACACTGCACAGAGAGTTGCCATTACGCATACACAGATACAATATATAAATATACTCTCACATACATATACATATACATATGTATGTATGTATCAACAATTGAAACTGCAATACTTCACAAATTTTTGCGTAACGCAATTGAAGTCTTGTTCAATTAAAACAATTTTCAATATGATTTAAAGGCATTCTTACTGGTTCTGGTTACTTCGTTGCCTGTTTTCCATTGTGCTTGGAGCCTGGAGCCTGAAGTGGCTTCTTTCTGGCTTATTTATTGCGGAAAAACTCCCCCAAAATGAAGCACTCGTTTTCCTGCTTCCCATTTCTGGCTAATTAAATAAATTTCGAGACACACAAAGCCCCAGAGAGTGCAGCGAGCGCATCTGTCTCGTCAAAGGCAAGCGGCGGCTTCAAGTTAATCTACCTCATGGCTTAATTGCTGCCATTGCCACTGCCACAGCGATGCCACTGCAAATTGCACCCAAAAGGCCAACAGCAGCCACCGAGCTGTCTCAGTTCTAGGCGTTCGGTCTCCTTCTCCTTTTCCATTTCCTTGCTCCAGCTGCTGGCCCCTGTCTACGACGCTAACTCATTTTAATGATGCTCCTACCTGGGGCGCCTTAAGTGCAGTGGCAGTAGCAGTGGCAGTGGCTTGGCTGGTGTCGTCTTCCGCCCGGTTTGGTCTCAGTCTCGGGGCAATTATGGCCAACTTGGCTGTGCTTACATGTGGCCAAATTGTTGTGGTCGTTGCTAGCTCCATCGCCGTCTCGGGCGCATTAAAAATGAATAATGTGCGCGACTTGGGCGCACAATTTATGCACTCGCTGTCCGACCGCATCCAGATGCTTACCGCGTGGGCCCAGAGCCAGAGACTGAGACTGAGCCCTGTGCCTGGCCCTTTTCAATCATATATAAATCCATGCAATCAAATTCCTTTGGGCAATACAATTAGCTTCGTCTTCGCTCCCTCTTCGTTACGGGGAAAATAAATTTGCTGCATGCTTTTGGGCGCGCAGTTTATTAGGCTTAACCTACCTGTCCAGGTCGAGGTCGAGGTACAGGTACAGGTCCAAGTCCTGGTCCCTTGTCCCTCGTCCTTGCTTATGCTTTGATGTTCCAGCTAAGCCCAGGTAAATTGATTTTCCCTGCCGGCCATGCCGGTCCGTGTTGCTGTCTTTATTTTTATTCCACGGACCCCACGAAGTCAGCAATAAAGTTCAAATGAAGCGAGTCGCTATTAAGTTATGCGGCTTTAGTTCCCCCCACGACAGAGTTCGGTGCTCCTTCGGTGAATAAGTGGGCGCATAAATCGTCAAAGAATACCAAATGAAATGCTGTGGAATAAGCTGAAACAATGCCAGGTCCATTGCCAGATAAACCTCTCACTCGAAGGGCGTAACAGTTACCTAGATGGAGCTACCTATCAGAGTCGTACAGCTGCTGCATGAGATTAAAGTTTATTTCCCTCACGTCTTTCCCCCCTGCTCGCTGCTCGCTACAGCTACCGGCCCCTGCCCTCGAAAAACCTCAGCGCCCCAAACGGTTCTGCGGTTTTAGTTGCATTTGACTTTGCGGTTTGACGTTGTTGCGTTTTTCCCCGTTGTTTTGTTGTTTTGTTGTTTTTATGTATTTGTTGCTTTCGCTCTCTGGCCATCCCCAGTCGCAGTTCGTGCCCCACTCCTTGTGTGCTGCAGCACACGCAACAGCTTTTTGTTCACACTTTCGCCTGGCAAAAACAATTTTCCTCCCAAATCAGGAATAGGAGAAGGAGCAGAAAGCAGAAAGCGGAGTGTGGAGTGTGGAGAGTGGAGTGACTGCTGCCTGCCTGCCCCGCATGCATTGCGGTTTCTGTTGCATAATTATTATGTTGCGGTTGCGAACCTTCCCCCGAACACCCTCTAACCAGAGCACCACTGCACCCGCATTTGCCACCAGCCTCGTGTTGCTGTTGTTGCAAAAGCATTTACCTTGTTTGTGGTTCGCTGAGCGCTGGCAACAGTTTTTCAGAGGCCCCTTTCTGGCCTGGCCTGGCCTGGCCCGAAATTACTTTGGTCTGGGTATGGGCTCTGGGCCTAGGAGGAAGTGGGAAGCCTGCCTGTCGAGGCCTTTAAATCTTTGACGGTGCCGTTTATTTTTCTGTTACTTTACGCCACGAACCTCCCTCAACTTTAACGAGTTTTAAAGTGACATTTGCTGATTTGATTCGAGCGTTAATTGAACTGCACTAAACGAAAATAATCATCTCTGTGTAGAAGCTGCATGCCAGCATACCAATTTGCTCTTATAAAAGAGTATTTGCGTTAAATATTTTAACTTCAGAGTCAAATTCCACTGATGTTAGAGACGCTGTGACATGGGTTTGGGTTGCTATGCGGAGAATCTGGCCCACTAAAGGGTTCGAACCCCCCTCAAAAAGGAAACACAAAACTAAACAACAGAAGGGCGACTTCCAGAAGTAGAAGGACAACTACAACAGGAATAAGTTCTAGTAGAAAAGGGTGGAAGGGGAGGGTGGAGCAGCAGCAGCAGCAGCATACTTTTTCGGCTGCGCTCAACAAATGTTACACAAAGCAGCAGCAGCAGCAGCAGAAGAAAGAGATGGAACACACAGGGAGGGAGCGACAGAGAAGGGTGAACGTGAACAGTGACTA